AAAAAAAAAAAAAAAAAACTTGTATAAAAGTATAAACATGGAAAATGCTGCAGTCTCGTTACAGAACCATTTTGTTGAGTTTTTGTAACCGTTAAATCATCATGTAACTGTCAAATATAGTTGATCTAACAGTTACAAACCCCGACGGAATAGTCGGACCGTAACATTTCTCCACCATAACATATACACACATTAATATAAGTATTAGGTAATTTAGTATGTAAATTATACTCACCGCCTGATTACCCTTGTACGTTCTTGCGACGGCAGCCAGGCCCTGCAGCCACTCGTTCGGGTCAAAATTCGGGTCCCCAAAAAATCCGTTACCGTCGTCGGACCCACAGCACCAGCCGGGCAAGCTGACGTGGTTATCGAGCACCACCATCAGATTATTCTTCCCGAGCTCATTCACCACGGCCTGGTGGAGCTCCACCACCTTCAGGCCCATGGCCCACGGGTTGTTACCCTCGATGCCCGCTTTTGCGGCCGTCAGGTTGTACTTGTTGAGGGATTGTGAAACCGTGAGCCCGTAGTAGTCGGGCCGGGTGAATGCATACGTGGCCCACGTGAACCGGACGCAGTTGAACCCGTTTCCGGCTATCTGCCTGGCTATTTGGGCCAGGGGCTTCTTCTCGAGCCCCTCGGCTATCATGGGCTGGAGGTGCGAGACCCAGTTGGCGCACGCGAGCTTTACCCGACCCCCGGTGGCCCGATCCACTATCCATCTGGAGCTCGTTGAGAGAGGGGCAGAATTGGAAAATGACAATATTTCGAGAAAAATGACGAGGATAATGACTTCAGCTGTTATGCCTCCCATTTTCTTCTCCATTTTCTTGGGGTGATTGAGTTATTGTTAATTTTGGTTCTGTATTTATAAGTAGCTGAGCAGCAGCACAGAGAACACGTATAAAATGAATATATAGTGTTAAATTTGGGCTTAAGAGTCACGTAGATTTATATAAATACTACCTCCTATTTTTAATATATGTCGTTTTGAGAAGTTGCACGTTAATTAAAAATTTTTTTTTGTCAATAATAACCTTATTTAATGAATACTAGTAAAGTGCACGTGCATCGCACGTGATGACGAATGTTTTTTGTCGATTAAATTTAGTAAAATAAATTAATTAATTTATTAAACATATCATTGCAGGAACGAAGT